CGCAGCAAATGGGCACCTTCTGCCAGGGTCTTCCTTTGATTGCAAAGCTTCCCTTCAGAAGAAAGAAGGGCACTGTCTCACGTCAGCTTTGCACATTTCAGAAAATCCCACTAAAGCTCCGACGGGGAGGAAGGAACGTGTGTGCTAAATGTGGAGCTTCGGCGTTTCCACTCGTTTCTGCCCACTCTAGAAGAGCCGGCAAATCCCCATGCTGTCACTCAGGAGTAACTAGCATGGCCTGCTGCCAGGAAGGCATCTTGGGTGGGTGTTAGTACATGAATAGGAAAGAGCAAGCGGTACCCACACCGAGGGGCGCAACGCTACAAAGCTACCAAGGAAGTACGCATGTTCTTACAAAATAGCTTGCGTTGGGACCAAAAAGATCCCAGTGAGGTTCTGTAAGAGCTAGACATGACCAGGAAGATTTCCTGAATCCTAGACACCTAAAATTATGTAGTGAAAAACTGAATTAAAAACAATAAAAAGGGCTTCTTATGTCAGTAGAAAAAGGAAGAACAAGGAGGCGATAGGGCCTCTTCAAGGAGAAGATGGGGCAATGCTGACAGGGGGAAGAACTAGATGAAGTCTTCTGCCAACAGTTGACCAAACAGGCACAGAGAACAGATGTAGTAGCCATGGGCGATTTCAACTATCCCGATATTTACTGGAAAACAAACTCAGCCAAGAGTACAAGGTCCAACAAATTCCTCGCTTGCCTTGCAGACAATTTCATGGTCCAGAAGGTAGAAGAGGCAACAAGGGGATTGGCTACTCTAGATCTCATCCTAACAAATGCGGAGGACCTAATAGATGCGGTCGAAGTGGTCGGATGCTTAGGGGCAAGTGACCATGTGCTCCTGCAATTTGAGGTACAAAGGAAGGAAAACTAAGACAAGTCAAACCCGCATTTTGGACTTTAGGAGAGCTGATTTCCAAAAAATGAAGGAAATGCTGAGCAGCATTCCATGGACACAGATACTAAAAGATAAGAGAGTTACGGATGGATGGGAATTTCTCAAGAGTGAAATACTCAAGGCACAATTGCAAACTGTGCCAACAAAGAGAAAAAATAGGACAAGTGCAAAGAAGCCAGAATGGATGTCCAAAGAACTTCTAACTGTGCTAAGACACAAAAGAGACATGCACAAGAAGTGGAAAAAGGGAGAAATCACCAAAGAAGAATTCAAACAAATAGCCAACACCTGTAGGGAAAAGGTCCGCAAGGCTAAAGCACAAAATGAGCTCAGGCTTGCCAGGGACATTAAAAACAATAAAAAGGGATTCTTTTCTTATGTCAGTAGAAAAAGGAAAAACAAGGAGGCGATAGGGCCTCTTCGAGGAGAAGATGGGGCAATGCTGACAGGGGGTAGGGAAAAGGCAGAACTACTTAATGCCTTCTTTGCCTCGGTCTTCTCACAAAAAGAAAGTCATCTTCAACCTCAGCAAGATGGAGTGGGTGAGGGATTAGAGGACATCCAACCCCAAATTGGGAAACAAGTCGTGCAGGAATACCTGGCCGCTCTGAATGAGTTCAAGTCCCCAGGGCCAGATCAACTACACCCAAGAGTATTGAAGGAACTAGCGGAAGTCATTTCGGAACCATTGGCAATCATCTTTGAGAGTTCTTGGAGAACGGGAGAAGTTCCAGCAGATTGGAGGAGGGCCAATGTGGTCCCAATCTTCAAGAAGGGAAAAAAGGATGACCCAAACAACTACTGTCCGGTCAGCCTCACGTCGATACCAGGCAAGATTCTGGGAAAGATTGTTAAGGAAGTGGTCTGCAAACACTTAGAAACAAATGCGGTCATCGCTAATAGTCAACATGGATTTATCAAAAACAAGTCATGCCAGACTAATCTGATCTCTTTTTTCGATAGAGTTACAAGCTGGGTAGATGCGGGAATGCCGTGGATGTAGCGTACCTGGATTTCAGTAAGGCCTTCGACAAGGTCCCCCATGACCTTCTGGCAAGGAAACTAGTCCATTGTGGGCTAGGCAAAACTACGGTGAGGTGGATCTGTAATTGGTTAAATGGACGAACCCAGAGGGTGATTCTCCCCAATGCTTCCTCTTCATCTTGGAAAGAAGTGACAAGTGGAGTGCCGCAGGGTTCCGTCCTGGGCCCGGTCCTGTTCAACATCTTTATTAATGACTTAGATGAAGGGCTAGAAGGCATGATCATCAAGTTTGCAGACGACACCCAATTGGGAGGGAGAGCCAATACTCCAGAGGACAGGAACAGGATTCAAAAAAATCTTGACAGATTAGAGAGATGGGCCAAAACTAACAAAATGAAGTTCAACAGTGACAAATGCAAGATACTCCACTTTGGCAGGAAAACGAAATGCAAAGATACAGAATGGGGGACAATGCCTGGCTCGAGAGCAGTACGTGTGAAAAAGATCTTGGAGTCCTCGTGGACAACAAGTTAAACATGAGCCAACAATGTGATGTGGCGGCAAAAAAAGCCAATGGGATTTTGGCCTGCATTAATAGGAGCATAGTGTCTAGATCTAGGGGCACTATGCTCCTCTATTCTGCTCTGGTTAGACCACACCTGGAATATTGTGTCCAATTCTGGGCACCACAATTCAAGAGAGATATTGACAAGCTGGAATGTGTCCAGAGGAGGGCGACTAAAATGATCAAGGGTCTGGAGAACAAGCCCTATGAGGAGCGGCTTAAGGAGCTGGGCATGTTTAGCCTGAAGAAGAGAAGGCTGAGAGGAGATATGATAGCCATGTATAAATATGTGAGAGGAAGCCACAGGGAGGGGGGAGCAAGCTTGTTTCTGCTTCCTTGGAGACTAGGACGCGGAACAATGGCTTCAAACTACAAGAGAGGAGATTCCATCTGAACATGAGGAAGAACTTCCTGACTGTGAGAGCCGTTCAGCAGTGGAACTCTCTGCCCCGGAGTGTGGTGGAGGCTCCTTCTTTGGAAGCTTTTAAACAGAGGCTGGATGGCCATCTGTCAGGGGTGATTTGAATGCAATATTCCTGCTTCTTGGCAGAATGGGTTTGGACTGGATGGCCCATAAGGTCTCTTCCAACTCTTTGATTCTATGATTCTATGAATGACAGACACATTGATTAACTGGACCTATTTTTCCATTGCAAAGCTTAAAGGACTAGAGTTTAGGCTTGGATCAAAAGTTATGGGAGTCAGTCATGCCAACCAATGATACTAAAATGTACCTTAAGAATTATCTTTAAGAACTAAATAAAAATATAATGTTTGTTTGTGGGATTAACATAAGTAAAAAAAATACTGGACGAATTGACACCAAATTTGGACAGCATACACCTACTAACCCAGTGGTTCTCAACCTTCCTAATGCCGTGACCCCTTAATACAGTTCCTCATTTTGTGGTGACCCCCAACCATGTAATTTTACTCCTGTTATGAATCATAATATAAATATCTGATATGCAGGATATATTTTCATTCATTGGACCAAATTTGGTAGAAATACCCGATACGCCCAAATTTGAATGCTGGTGGGGTGGGGCATTGATTTTGTAATGACATGGGAGTTGGAGTTGCTGGGATTTATAGTTAACCTATAATCAAAGAGCATACTGAACTCCACCAATGATGGAACTGAAGCACTCTTGGCCCACAGTTCTCCCATGACCAACAGAAAATACTGGAAGGGTTTGGTGGGGATTGACCTTGAGTTTTGAAGTTGTAGTTCACCTACATCCAGAGAGCACTGGGGACTCAAACAATGATGGATCTGGACCAAACTTGGCATGAATACTCAATATGCCCAAATGTGAACATTGGTGGAGTTTGGGGAAAATAGACCTTGACATTTGGGAGTTGTAGTTGCTGGGATTTATAGTTCAACTACAATCAAAGAGCATTCTGAGTTTTGGAGTTGTAGTTCACCTACATCCAGAGAGTACTGGGGACTCAAACAATGATGGATCTGGACCATGAATACTCAATATGCCCAAATGTGGTGGAGTTTGGGGAAAATAGACCTTGACATTTGGGAGTTGTAGTTGCTGGGATTTATAGTTCAACTATAATCAAAGACAATTCTGAACCCCATCAACACTGGTATTGGGCCAAACTTCCCACACAGAATCCCTATGACCAACAGAAAATACTGTTGTTTCCTAATGGGCTTTGGCGACCCCTCTGATACCCCCTCGCGACCCCCCCCCAGGGGTCCCGACCCCTAGGTTGAGAAACACTGTACTAACCCAAGGAGCGGCCATCACTAAAAAAATGATTTTGTCATTTGGGAGTTGTAGTTGCTGGGATTTATAGTTCACCTACAATCAACGCTTCCTTCTTTGGAAGCTTTTAAACAGAGGCTGGATGGCCATCTGTCAGGGGTGATTTGAATGCAATATTCCTGCTTCTTGGCAGGGGGTTGGACTGGATGGCCCATGAGGTCTCTTCCAACTCTTTGATTGTATGATTCTATGAAACTCCACCAGTGATGGAATTGAACCAAATGTGGCACACAGGACTCCCATGACCAACAGGGTTCAGTGGGCATTGGCCTTGAGTTTGGGAGTTGTAGTTCACGTACATCCAGAGAGCACTTTGGACTCAAACAATGATGGATCTGGACCTAGCACGAATATTCCATATGCCCAAATATGAACACAGATGGAGTTTGGGGGAAAAAGACCCTGATATTTGGGAGTTGTAGTTCCTGGGATTTATAGTTCACCTACAATCAGAACCCCGCAATAGATGAGGGAACACTATAGTTTAGGAAGGCTGCATTAGATTAATACTTATTCTGTTCAAATAACTATTCAAATAGAAGAGAAAAAAAAATCATGAGCACCTAGTCCACATACTTCAGCTCATGCATGAGCAAACTTGGTCCTTCCAGGTGTTTTGGACTACAACTCCCACAATTCCTAACAGCCTCAGGCCTTCTCCTTTTCCTCCTCAGCCACTTATGCCTGCTTTAGCTCCTTAGTTTCAGTTTCTGAATGAATTTTCCAAAATATTTTCCTTGCTTCTTGTAGAGGTACAGACTGAGAAGCTGGCCCGCACGGTGTTCAGCAAACTCCACGACACCTGCAGCAGTTGGGTGAAAGACTTCCCCCTCCAGCAGAAGCCCCACCGTTATTATGAAACATCCATTCATGCCATCAAGAACATGCGGCGCAAGATGGAGGACAAACACGTGTGCATTCCAGACTTCAACACCCTCTTCAACCTTGAGGTACTGAGTCCGTGGAAGAAGGTGCACCTCACAGGGGGTGCATTTGAGATAGGACAGAGACCCCTGGGGTGTATTTTTCAAGGGAATGATAGTATCCGTTGCTCCACCGGCCATTAAACCTACTAAGATTGAAATACCTGATGGCCCTAAAACAGTGGTGCTCAGCCTTTTTTACCGGGGACCACTTGTCCAGGGACCACTTTGACCAGGGGCCACTTTGAACAGGGACCACTTGTCTAGGAGCCACTTTGACCAGGGGCCACTTTGAACAGGGACCACTTGACCAGGGACCACTTGTCCAGGAGCCACTTTGAACAGGGACCACTTTGACCAGGGACCACTTGTCCAGGAGCCACTTTGAACAGGGACCACGTTGACCAGGGGCCACCTGTCCAGGAGCCACTTTGACCAGGGGCCACTTTGAACAGGGGCCACTTTGACCAGGGACCACTTTGACCAGGGACCACTTGAGCAGAGACCACTTTGGGACCACTTTGACCAGGGTCCACTTTGAACAGGGGCCATTTTGACCAGGGACCACTTTAACCAGGGACCACTTGAGCAGGGACCACTTTGACCAGGGACCACCTGAACAGGGACCACTTTGACCAGGGACCACTTGAACAGGGGCCACTTTGAACAGGGACCACTTTGACCAGGGACCACTTTGAACAGGGACCACTTTGACCAGGGGCCACTTTGAACAGGGACCACTTTGACCAGGGGCCACTTTTCCAGGAGCCACTTTGACCAGGGGCCACTTTGAACAGGGGCCACTTGAACAGGGACCACTTGTCCAGGAGCCACTTTGAACAGGGACCACTTTGACCAGGGGCCACTTATTTTATTTATTTATTTATTTCATCTACTTATACCCCGCCCTTCTCACCCCGGGGGGGACTCAGGGCGGCTTACAGGGAAGGCACAATTAGATGCCCAAATCACACAACAAACAATACAAAATATAACAATTCAACAATTAAAATAAAACATCAGTACCTAATAAAATCATAAAAACTATCTCATGTCAGAGTCCATATATCAGAGTCCATATATCCATTCCATTTGTCCAGGAGCCACTTTGAACAGGGACCACGTTGACCAGGGGCCACTTGTCCAGGAGCCACTTTGACCAGGGGCCACTTTGAACAGGGGCCACTTTGACCAGGGACCACTTGAGCAGAGACCACTTTTGGACCACTTTGACCAGGGTCCACTTTGAACAGGGGCCATTTTGACCAGGGACCACTTTAACCAGGGACCACTTGAGCAGGGACCACTTTGACCAGGGACCACTTGAGCAGAGACCACTTTGGGACCACTTTGACCAGGGACCACCTGAACAGGGACCACTTTGACCAGGGACCACTTGAACAGGGACCATTTTGAACAGAGACCACTTTGACCAGGGACCACTTGAGCAGAGACCACTTTGGGACCACTTTGACCAGGGTCCACTTTGATCAGGGTCCATTTTGACCAGGACCACTTTAACCAGGAACCACTTGAGCAGGGACCACTTGAACAGGGACCACTTTGACCAGGGACCACTTTGAACAGGGACCATTTTGACCAGGGACCACTTTGACCAGGGACCACTTGACCACTTTGACCAGGAACCACTTTCCAACATTAGTACCAAAAGGGTTACGAATCAGTTTTTGGTCAACTATAAATTTGGTATGGTTATTTGGGGTGTAGATTCAGAATATTGCATTGGATAGACCACATCAACTCTAGTTTCTAATACAAAACATATGCCATCCAGTAGTCGCCATCTGCTCGCCCACAGAAAGAGCTCATGTGGTAGTAGTAATCTTTCATGGATAGTCAGTCTCTCCCCTGTCGACATCCCCATTGCCTCAGCACTATAAGAGTGCTTCACGAGACCAGTCGCTCTCATTGCTGCGTGGTTTCGAGGCCACAGTGTACTAATGGTGAGGCCGCGGACCATATTTTCATTCCTGCGGATCACTGGTGGTCCATGGACCACAGGTTGGAAACCACTGCCCTAAAACAACTATATTGAGAAGTGTAGCCCAACATAATACCTGTGGCATCCACTTATCCTTGCTCTCACTGGTCCTGCAGGACCCTGCTCAACCTGTTCTTTATCTAAAGTAGCTTCTGTCCTCCATTTTTAAATGCAGCCTGAATCTGTAAAGCATGTCTCTTTCTGGATTTTCTCATTTCCATTTTCTTCCCTCGGCAGGATCAAGAGGAACAGGCTTATTTTGCAGTGTTTGATGGCCACGGTGGAGTCGACGCTGCCATCTATGCTTCCATTCACCTCCATGTGAACCTGGTGCACCAAGAGGCGTTCCAGAATGACCCCGCAGAGGCGCTTTGCAAAGCCTTCCGGGTGACAGACGAGCGCTTTGTGCAGAAGGCAGCCAGAGAGGTACACAAGAAATGTGGGGCAGGGGTGGGCTGTGGGATTGGTCAGCAACCTGATCTACTGTGTTCTTAAGGAAATAGCAAGGCACACTTTAAATTATGAGAGTTATCCAGAAAGTAAGGTTACAAGATTTTTTTTAAAAAAAAATCAAAGAATGAATGAACAAATTTGAATCAAACTTACATGGAGTGTAGCATAGGTATTATTACATTATTTTTCCACATAATTCCCATTCAGTTCAATACATTTTGTCATCTGTGGGATAAGATTTTGATGCCTGTGTCATAGAAGTTTCCCTCTGCCTTTTTCAGCCAGTTTTTCACTTCAGTTTTCACCTCCTCATTGTCAGAAAAGTGTTTTTCACCCAGGTGTACCTTCAATTTAGTGAACAGATGATAGTCACTGGGTGCGAGATCAGGGCTGCAAGAGAGGTGGCTTAAAAGATCCCAACCCAATGAAGTCAATTACTCTTGTGTTGCATGAGTAGTGTGCGGACACACATTGTCATGAAAGAGACAGACTCCTGCCATCAGCATCCCACAATATTTGTTTTGGATGGCTCTGCGAAGTTTCTTCATGGTTTCACAATATATTCCATGCCCATTTTGTCACGTGCTGTGTTAACATTACGTCCTCTCGATAAACTGAAATGATTTCATGATGAATCGCAGCGGCATTCATGACCTTAGCATTTAGGTAGCATATTACAGCATGAACTTCACACTCGGAGAGAAACGGAATAAGGACGCTCATCTCTAACCTTCATCACAATGCCAGTTGATGAGCTACTGACGACTGGCACTGCTCGTTCCCTTCCACTGGCTTCCTGCTACACGACAGTGAGACCAACTTTCCCCGCAAAAAATTTCCTCTGAAGCTATGTGGCTTGGAACATTACTATCTGGATATCCCTCATATAGCTCGGAACTTCGCACTTGGAGGGAAACGGAATGAGGATGCTCATCTCTAACCTTCACCACAATGCCAGTTGATGAGCTACTGACGACTGGCATTGCTCGTTCCCTTCAGCTGACTTCCTGCTACACGGCAGTGAGACCAACTTTCCCCGCAAAAATTTTCCACTGAAGCTATGTGGCTTGGAACATTACTATCTGGATATCCCTCATATAGCTCGGAACTTCGCACTTGGAGGGAAACAGAATGAGGATATTCGTCCCTAACCTTTACCACAACGCCAGTTGATGAGCAACTGACAACTGGCACTGCTCGTTCCCTTCCGCTGGCTTCCTGCTACATGGCAGTGAGACCAACTTCCCCCGAGAAAATTCCCCACAAGAGCTACGTGCCTTGTAACCTTACTTTACAGATAACCCTCGTAGGTAATTAATACAATCAACAAAAATGTGACATTCATCATATTTAGCCCCTCGGGTGCTGGACGAGTGTCTGACCGCTGTGGCTGTCTGGATTAGGAGGAACAAGCTGAAGATTAATCCCGACAAGACAGAGGTCCTCCTGGTCGATCGTAAACCGGATCGGGGTATAGGGTGGCAACCTGTGCTGGACGGGGTTACACTCCCCCTGAAGTCGCATGTCTGCAGTTTGGGTGTCCTCCTGGACTCATCCCTGTTGTTTAAAGCTCAGGCGTCGGCGGTGGCTGGGAGGGCCTTCGCACAACTAAGACTCGTGCACCAACTGCGACCGTACCTTGAGAATGCGGATCTGGCCAGGGTGGTCCACGCCTTAGTCACTTCCAGATTGGACTACTGTAATGCACTCTACGTAGGGCTGTCCTTGAAAACGGCCCGGAAATTTCAATTGGTCCAACGGGCGGTAGCCAGGTTGTTAACTGGTGCTCCTTACACCAGGAGCTCCACTGGCTTCCATTCATTTTCCGGTCCCAATTCAAGGTGCAGGTGCTTACCTACAAAGCCCTAAACAGTTTGGGACCTGCCTACCTGCGCAACCGCATCTCTGTGTACGAACCCACATGATCTCTTCGTTCATCTGGAGAGGCCCTGCTCACGATCCCACCTGCATCGCAGGTGCGATTGATGGGGATGAGGGATAGGGCTTTCTCGGTGGTGGCCCCTCGACTCTGGAACTCCCTCCCTAAGGACATCAGGCAGGCCCCGTCGCTAGCAATCTTTAGGAGGAGCTTGAAAACGTGGTTGTTCCAGTGTGCCTTTCCAGAATAAGGAAACTTCTAGTATTATGTCCCAATGCACTTTATCAGAAATCTAGGATATCTGCATGCCCATCCCCCCCCCAAACACCCCACCTTGTCATGCCCAGCACTTTTTAATTTTAATTATTACATTTGGCCCAGCCATTGTTTTTAATTGCATCATTAGATGTTTGTTAATGTTATTGCTTTGTTTTTTGTTTTTTGAGTTATTGTGTTGTTGTTGTTGCAGCTGTTTTTATTGTTGTATTTGGGCTCGGCCTCCTGTAAGCCGCACCGAATCCTTTGGGAGATGGTAGCGGGGTACAAATAAAGGATTATTATTATTATTATTATTATTATTATTATTATTATTATTATCCATTAAAACTGTACATTGGTGGTTTGGCACAACCTGATAACATTTGTTTATTGCTCATATTGAGAGCAGTAAATGAACGAATTGCTTTTTACTCCTCATTGGAGCAACCTGCTTAGTTGAGCCATGTCTGTAATACATCTTGTGTTCATCTTCACAAGATTAGTGATCATTTTTTTTCCCTCCAGAGCTTGCGGTGCGGGACAACAGGTGTCGTGACCTTCATCCGGGGGAACATGTTACATGTGGCCTGGCTGGGAGACTCCCAGGTGATGCTGGTAAGAAGAGGTCAAGCGGTGGAATTGATGAAGCCTCATAAACCTGATCGAGAGGTAAGAGCTTGCTTGAGATTCCTGAAAAACACACTGAAAAGGGGAATGATGCTCACAGGACGGTTTCCCTTTGCAGTCAGTCTCAATCAGCCAGACTTTAGCTTTCTAATTGCAGTCTATGGTTGCTACAGCTATGATGATGATGACAATAACAAAAACAAACAACACTTTATTTGTATTCTGCTCTATCTTTTCGAGGGGACTCAGAGCAGATTCCAGCATATATACAGACATAGGCTGTGCTGGTAAGGCCGTACCAGAAGCTCCAACTTTATTTGCTTTGTATTAAATGCTTGTTTGCAGTTCAAGGTTTCAGGGATTCTGCAGAAAGGTGGCTTCCTTTGGTTGCAGTCATAGGGCAAGTCATCTGTCCATCATTGTTAAGTGTTGGTTCCGCCCCTTGCTCAGGGCAATTGGGAAGGGAAGGGAGCCATTTTTAGTTAGTCTCAGCAAGGAAAGCTAATGTATAGGATGTGTGCAAGCTTCCCCTGTACAAAAGCTTCAACCCTTAAGACTTTCCGGGGGGAAACAGTCTTAAGAGCATCCAAAGAGTTTCCAAAGATTTCCAGGGAAACAGCCCTAAAGACCAAAGAACTCCAGCTGGAGAACATCTAAGCCTTTACTGGTAGGTTCATTTGGCGTTCGAGAAGCAGTTTGACCCGGTAGCGGAACCCACATCAGTAAGGGTTAGATTACAGTCAGCCTGGGAGAAGTTAAAAAGGGGACTTTCCTTTAAAGTAAAGAAGAAGTTATTGAAGACAGTTGCCTGTCCTTCGTGGGCAAGTTTAGGAAACTACCAGTTGCATAAAAGCCTGAAATAATTTGTTTAACTTTCTGAAGACAAGAGAAGTTTCTGTTTGATTGTTCATTAATAAAAGACTTTGTTATACTTCACAAGCCATCTAAAGGTTATTTGTGGTGGAAAACCTCTGAGAACTTCTCCTTGGGCCCCCTGGCTTCCCGCTGGGCAAAGGTTGCACGTCCTGTTCTAAAGGAAATTCTCTACAGGCCCAGCACATGACAGAACATAGGCAAACACTCAATGTCTTTGAAACACAATGAAACACAAATACACAGGCAAAGGCTTCCCCTTTCATTTCTGGCTCTGAATCCATGACTAATGTACTTAACTAATAAACTGAAACATTACACTGTGGGGGTGTCCCTGCACTACATACATCAACATGTTTTGAAGCAAGGACGCTAACCGGCTTTTGTGTTACCTTCTGGTTTAGGATGAGAAGAAGCGGATCGAGGCCCTTGGAGGCTGCGTGGTCTGGTTTGGGGCTTGGCGAGTCAACGGGAGCCTATCTGTCTCCAGAGCCATTGGTAGGAAATCTAGCTGTCAACAAATTCCCTTCCCCATCTCTTCCTCCTTATTACCCTTCATGTTTGCTAATGGAAATTTCAATTAAAATATCCACTCATTGGTTTGTGGTGGAGACAAGGCAAAGACAGTGCCTTCAACAGTGAAATCTAGGAAGGAGACTGCGGTCGAAACAGCAGGTTTTATGTGGCTATCAAAAAACCCTGTGATATTTCCAAATGTAATGTAACTCTGAAGCAGTATAGGATCACGGGTTGTGGTGCTGTTAGCTTTTCAAGGAACTTCATGGGGTCAGTTACAATTAGGGCCCTTGAGTGTAATATGAGATTTGTCACAAGCTGGAACGAAACAGTCTTATCATAGAATCATAGAATCAAAGAGTTGGAAGAGACCTCATGGGCCATCCAGTCCAACCCCATTCTGCCAAGAAGCAATTCTTGGTCTCCTTAGTGCAGCGTTTCTCCTGTGGGTCAGGACCCCCGGGGGGTTATGAAGATGTGACAGAGGGGTCACCAAATACCATCAGAAAACATAGTGTTTTCCATTGGTCATGGGGTTCTGCATGGGATGTTTGGCCCAATGGGGTTCAGAATGCTCTTTAGGAGCCTCCGGTGGCGCAGTGGGTCAAACCGACAGGTCGCAGGTTCGAATCCGGGGAGAGTGCGGATAGGCTCCTTCTATCAGTTCCAGCTTCTCATGTGGGGACATGAGAGATGGTAAAACATCAAAAACATCCAGGCGTCCCATAAGCAATGTCCTTGCAGACCACCAATTCTCTCACGCCAGAAGCGACTTGCAGTTTCTCAAGTCATAGAATCATAGAATCAAAGAGTTGGAAGAGACCTCATAGGCCATCCAGTCCAACCCAGTGCCAAGAAGCAGGAATATTGCATTCAAATCACCCCTGACAGATGACCATCTAGCCTCTGTTTAAAAGCTTCCAAAGAAGGAGCCTCCACCACACTCCGGGGCAGAGTTCCACTGCTGAATGGCTCTCACAGTCTTCCTCATGTTCAGATGGAATCTCTTGTAGTCTGAAGCCATTGTTCCACTGCATCCTAGTCTCCAAGGAAGCAGAAAACAAGCTTGCTCCCTCCTCCCTGTCGCTTCCTCTCACATATTTATACATGGCCCTCATCATGTCTCCTCTCAGCCTTCTCTTCTTCAGGCTAAACATGCCCAGCTCCTTAAGCTGCTCCTCATAGGGCTTGTTCTCCAGACCCTTGATCATTTTAGTCGCCCTCCTCTGGACACATTCCAGCTTGTCAACATCTCTCTTGAATTGTGGTGCCCAGAATTGGACACAATATTCCAGGTGTGGTCTAACCAAGGCGGAATAGAGGGGTAGCATGACTTCCCTAGATCTAGACATTATGCTCCTCTTGATGCAGGCCAAAATCCCATTGGCTTTTTTTGCCGCCACATCACATTGTTGGCTCATGTTTAACTTGTTGTCCTTGAGGACTCCATGATCTTTTTCACACGTACTGCTCTCGAGCCAGGCACTGTCCCCCATTCTGTATCTTTGCATTTCGTTTCTCCTGCCAAAGTGGAGTATCTTGCATTTGTCACTGTTGAACTTCATTTTGTTAGTTTTGGCCCATCTCTCTAATCTGTCAAGATCGTTTTGAATTCTGCTCCTGTCCTCCTGTCCTGACAGGACTAAAGAAAAAAAGAAAAAAAGAATGCTCTTTGATTGTAGGTTAACTATAAATCCCAGCAACTACAATTCCAAAATGTCAAGGTCTATTTTCCCCAAATTCCACCAGTGTTGATATTTGGGCATATTGGGTATTCGTGCCAAGTTTGATCCAGACCTCTCTCACAGTCAGGAAGTTCTTCCTCGTGTTCAGATGGAATCTCCTTTCTTGTCGTTTGAAGCCATTGTTCCATTGTTTATTTATATATAAATAAATATAAAAATACAGTAAGTAAGTAAATAAATAAAGAGAGCAGTCAGATCTCTTGTCCCAAAAAGAACAGTCCTCACCCTTCCATGAGCATAAATATGTGAGAGGAAGTCATAGGGAGGAGGGAGCAAGCTTGCCCCGGAGACTAGGATGAAGAACAATGGCTTCAAACTACAAGAATGGAAATTCCATCTGAACATGTCACTGTTATGATTTTATTGATGTTAACATTTTTATATTGTACTAGCTGTCCCCTGCCATGCGTTGCTGTGGCCCATTCTGGTGGTCATGGGGGTTCTGTGTGGGAGGTTTGGCCCAATTCTATCGTTGGTGGGTTTCAGAATGCTCTTTGACTGTAGGTGAACTATAAATCCCAGCAACTACAACCCCCAAATGTTGATATTCTATTTTCCCCAAACTCCACCAGTGTTCACATTTGGGCATATTGAGTATTCGTGTAGAGTTTGGTCCAGATCCATCATTGTTTGAGTCCACAGTGATCTCTGGATGTAGGTGAACTACAACTCCAAAACTAAAGGGCACTGCCCACCAAACCCTTCCAGTATTTTCTGTTGGTCATGGGAGAACTGTGTGCCAAGTTTGGTTCAATTCCATCGTTGGTGGGGTTCAGTATGTTCTTTGATTGTAGGTGAACTATAAATCCCAGCAACTACAACTCCCAAATGACAGAATCAATTTTTGGAGTGAAGGACATACATTGGGTTGTTAGGTGTCTTGTGTCCAAATTTGGTGTCAATTTGTCCAGTGGTTTTTGAGTTCTGTTAATCCCACAAACAAACATTACATTTTTATTTATTTAGAAGTTTTATATACCGGTCTTCTCATCTCCAAGGAGGGACTCAGGCTGGTTCACAACATATGTTCATATACAATAATATACAAAAACAACACAATGCATCATCATTACACATTAAAATATAAGTACAATAAAAACATTATCATCACATTATACAAGCCAAGTCGTCAATACAGCCACAGTCACAGTTCATCATCCTCCTTCCATGTGGACGAAGGTTATTGACTCAATCCTCAAATGCCATATTCCAAAGCCAGGTTTTTGTTAGTTTCCTGAAGGTCAGGAGGGAGGGAGCAGTTCTAATCTCTAGTGGGAGGGAGTTCCAAAGCCGAGGAGCCACCACCGAGAAGGCCCTGTCCCTCGTTCCCACCAAACACGATTGCAAAAGTGGTGGGACCGAGAGCAGGACCCCTCCGGAAGAGCTTAGTAACCTTAATGGTTCGTAGGGGAGAATCCGTTCGGACAGGTAAACTGGGCCGGAGTCGTTTAGGGCTTTATAGGTCAAAACCAGCACTTTGAATTGTGCTCGGAAGCTAATCGGCAGCCAGTGGAGCTGGCGTAACAGAGAGGTCGTATGATCTCTGTACCCAGCTCCTGTTAGCAATCTGGCTGCCGCTTGCTGGACTAATTGAAGCTTCCGGGCAGTCTTCAAAGGCAACACCCACGTAGAGAGCGTTGCAGTAGTCTAAATGGGATGTAACCATTATATAGATTTGTGTTTTTCTGGCATTGAATTTTGCCTTGTAAACTGCCTCGAGTCACCGGACGGCTGAGAGGGGCGGTATACAAATATAGTATAATATAAATAAATAAACTTCCTGACTGTGAGAGCTATTCAGCAGTGGAACTCCGCCCTGGAGTGTGGTGGAGGCTCCTTCTATGGAGGCTTTGAAACAGAGGCGGGATGGCCATCTGTCGGGGGTGCTTTGGATGCAATTTTCCTGTTTCTTGGCAGAATGGGGTTGGACTGGATGGCCCAGGAGGTCTCTTCCAACTCTATGATTCTTGCTACCCTGAGGAGAATTCACTGTTTTCCCCTGTTTAGAGACAGGCTCACCCATCTTTGTTTTGTTTTTTTATCCATTGCCTTTAGGGGATGCTGAGCACAAGCCATACATCTGCGGAGATGCAGATTCCGCTTCCTTGGTTCTGGATGGATCAGAAGACTACCTCATTTTAGCTTGCGATGGTTTCTATGACACAGTGAACCCCGATGAAGCAGTGAAAGTGGTGGCCGACCACCTGAAGGAAAACAACGGCGACAGCACCATGGTGGCCCACAAGTTGGTGGCGTCAGCACGAGACGCGGGATCGAGCGACAACATCACCGTCATTGTGGTCTTTCTCAGGGACATGAATACAGCAGTGAGTGTTAGCGAGGAATCCGAGTGGACAGAGAACTCTTTCCAAGGTGGACAAGAAGACAACGGAGACGATAAGGAGAACCACGGCGACTGCAAGAGGCCATGGCCTCAGCACCAGGTCTCGGCACCGGCTGATTTAGGATACGACGGGAGAGTAGATTCTTTCACAGACAGAACTACTTTGAGCTCAGGCTCCAGGATCAACATATTGGAAGACCCGGGCTGTTTAGACCTGAGGAAAACGGAAGCCAGCAAACAGCAGAGTGCCAAACGCCTGTCCGCCGATCAAGGGTTGAATGCTGGTGTACTAAAGAGAGCAACCTTGGGCCCCAGTGTATCTCTTGAAGACAGTGCATCTCTTGAAGACGGTCAGGGCACTTTCCAGTCCTCCCCTCTTAGTTTGGGCTCCACAAGCCTGCACGCCTGCACCGTGGCGAGCGAGTCTCCGACTTCCACCGGGTTGGAAGGTGAATGGTTCTTGTCCTGGGGAAGAAGAGCTTCCATCTTCTCTCGCTTCCATTTCTGCGACACAAAACGGTGGCAGCGGCTAGCCAGACTCAAGCCAAAGCTCCACCTGCTCCTCTTTGAGCACAGGCCACTTTCCCGCCCGGAAGGATTAACCCTGTGCTCCCCCCCGAGTAGCCTGAACGGGCGCAGGAATAAGCTGAAACGGAGCCGGCTCTGGCAGGGCTTCTCGAGTTGCCGCCAGGGCCACGGGGAGAGCCTTCTCCTGACGCTGAGGCACAGTCACTGTTTACCAGACCCACGGCTGCTCTGGAGCTGTCAAAAATAACACTCTCCCTCGTATTCCCCCCCTGGCTTCTCCAAATAGTTAGGTTAGGCATTCACAGAATGAGAAGTTAACTCAGAGCGAGCATTTCAGAACTCTTTAACACGATTGTGGAATGCCCACTCATGTAAATAGATCCTAGGAATAAAAAAGCGTTTTGATCTCAAAATAATAAAATAATAATAATAATAATAATAAAACGAAGGGCTGGCACGCCAGTCGCACATTAAGCAACGTCACAAACACACTCATCCCTGCTCTTTCCTCCCATACGTCATACACGTAGCTTAGAGCTCCGTTGTTGGCTCATTGTAACTGGAAGCTGCCATTGACTCATTGGACTTAGATAGGAAAGTGCTATTTTTAAAAGAAAGATGCAAAAAAAAAGTGAGTGGTGTCTGTGGAGCAATATTTTCAGGACAAAGCTGTTTTTGTAGGTGAGGTGGGGTGGGCTGGGAGGGGAAGAGGCAGGAAGACAAGCAGTACAGTTTGCATGGGGAGGGGTCCTTAACAATTAATAGGGCAAACCAGGAAGCTCTGCAGGTATGTTATTAAAAGCCATATGGGGTTGAAGGACTCCCCAGCCCTTCATGTATAGCCAGTAAGACTTTGATCCAGGCATTTATGAGGGTTATCCGGAAAGTAAGGTTACAAGATTTTTTTAAAAAATAGATTTTAACAAAACTTACATGGATTATAGTATAGGTATTATATTATTTTTCCCTACAATCACCATTCAGTTGAATACATTTTGTCATCCGTGGGATGAGTTTTTGAAGTTTCCTTCCGCCTTTTTCAGCCAGTTCGTCACTTCAATTTTCACCTCGTCGTCGGAAAAGTGTAGTGAACATGATAGTCACTGGGCGCGAGATCGGAGCTGTGAGAGGGGTGGCTTAAAATATCGCAACCCAATGAAGTAAACAACTCTTGTGTTGCATGAGCAGTGTGTGGACACGTATTGTCATGAAGGAGACAGACTCCTGCCGTCAGCATCCCATGATGTTTGTTTTGGGTGGCTCTGTGAAGTTTTTTTCATGGGCTTGCAATATATTCCATACCCATGCTGTCTTGACATTATGTCCTCTCCATAAACTGAAACGATTTCACAATGAATTGCAGCGTTTTGTGCCCTTAGCATTTAGATAGTGCATTACAGTGCGAACTTCGCACGTGGAGGGAAATGGAATGAAGACGCTCATCTCTAACCTTCACCACAACGCCAGTTGATGAGCTACTGACGACCGGCACTGCTTGTTCACTTCCGCTGGATTCCCGCTACATGGCAGTGATACCAACTTCCCCAGAGAAACTTCCCCGCAAGAGCTACATGCCTTGTAACCTTACTTTCCAGATATCCCTCGCACAGCACGAACTTCGCACTTGGAGGGAAACGGAGTGAGGACGCCATTCTCTAATGTTCACCACATCACCAGTTGATGAGCTACTGACGACTGCCACTGGACATTCACTTCCGCTGGATTCCCACTACATGGCAGTGATAACAACTTCTTCTGAGAAAATTCCCCGGAAGAGCTACATGCCTTGTAACCTTACTTTCCAGATATCCCTCGCACAGCACGAACTTTGCACTTGGAGGGAAACGGAGTGAGGACGCCATTCTCTAACCTTCACCACATCACCAGTTGATGAGCTACTGACGACTGGCACTGCTCATTCACTTCCGCTGGCTTCTCACTACACGGCAGTGATGCCAACTTTCCCAGAGAAAATTCCCCGCAAGAGCTACATGCCTTGTAGCCTTACTTTCCAGATATTCCTCGCATAGCACGAACTTCACACTTGGAGGGAAACGGAGGACGCCATTCTCTAACCTTCACCACATCACCAGTTGATGAGCTACTGACGACTGGCACTGCTTATTCACTTCCGCTGGCTTCTCACTACACGACAGTGATATCAACTTCTCCAGAGAAAATTCCCCACAAGAGCTCCATGCCTTGTAATCTTACTTTCCAGATATCCCTCGCACAGCACGAACTTTGCACTTGGAGGGAAATGGAGTGAGGACACTCATCTCTAACCTTTACCACAACGCCAGTCGATGAGGTACTGACGCCCGGCACTGCTCGTTCACTTCCGCTGGATTCCCACTACACGGCAGTGATACCAACTTCCCCCGAGAAAATTTCCTGCAAGAGCTACATGCCTTGTAATCTCACTTTCCAGATATCCCTCGCAAAGCACGAACTTCGCACTTGGAGGGAAATGGAGTGAGGACACTCATCTCTAACCTTCACTGACGACTGGCACTGCTGGTTCGCTTTTGCTGGCTTCCCGCTATATGGCTGTGATACCAACTTTCCCCACGAAAATTCCCCGTGCCTTGTAACTTTACTTTCCGGATAACCCTCGTACTAAACTTTACCTATGTTTCCCCCTCAGTAACATAAAAAAAAAAATAACAACGAAGGAATACTAAACTTTTTGTGGTTTTTAAAAGAGAATTTCCTGTGGCTAAACCTATGTTGAAATTCAAATAAGCTTGGAGGATTTTTTTTTTTTCAATTTTTGGTGCTTAGTGAGTATGACATTTTAGTCTTTGAAACTGAAAAAGTAATAATAATGTTCAGACTTGTTTGCGTCCAATCACAGAATCTAATAATGCTTAATTCCTTTCCACCGCTTTCTTCTCCCCCAGGAATCCCTTTTATATCTCAGGTGTCAAAATGATCTGTAAGGCTAATTGAGATAGAAATGCCGACCTGTGAACTGATAGAGCCTGCGGGTCTGAGGCTCACAAACCTTTAACCATCCGTTCCGCTTTCCTGTTCAGAAAGAATCTTGGGGACGATTCCAGAGCGAGGGTCGTTTTTCATTCAGCTACTTGTTGCACTTTGTGGTTTCATCTCAAGAGACCTTAAGAACACAAAGCCAAGGTAGTAGAGAGCTACTGAGAGCCTTATGGGAATATAAATAGAGGGCCTGGAAGTGGCAGCCAGCCAGCCATAGCAGCCATGATGGCCAACGGAGCAGAGAGTCCGGAAGTGTGATACGGCAAGGGAAGGGTGAATGTGAGGATTGCCTGCCTGTCTCCGTCCGTCCTAAGGAGCAAAACAATTCACCAAACCTTAGCGCGTGCCCGGTGGTACAGTGGGTTAAACTGCTGAATTGTTGAACTTGATAAGCAGTTCGAATCCGGGGAGCTGGGTGAGCTCCCACTGTTAGCCCCAGCTTCTGCCAACCTAGCAGTTCGAAAACATGCAAATGTGAGTAGATCAATAGTGCAAGGTAATGGTGCTTCTTGCAGTCATGCTGGCCACATGACCTTGGAGGTGTCTATGGACAACGCTGGTTCTTCGGCTTAGAAATGGAGATGAGCACCACACCCGAGTCGGACACGATTGGACTTAATGTCAGGGGAAAACCTTTACCTTCACCCTAACATGTCTCCTCTCAGCCTTCTCTTCTTCAGGCTAAACATGCCCAGGTCTTTAAGCCGCTCCTCATAGGGCTTTTTCTCCAGACCCTTGATCATTTTAGTCGCCCTCCTCTGGACACATTCCAGCTTGTCAACATCTCCCTTCAATTGTGGTGCCCAGAATTCGGCACAATATTCCAGGTGTGGTCTGACCAAGGCAGAATAGAGCATGGGGAGCATGACTTCCCTGGATCTAGACACTAGACTCCTATTGATGCTGGCCAAAATCCCATTTGCTTTTTTTGCCGCCGCATCACATTGTTGGCTCATGTTCACCTTCCCCAAGATCTTTTTCACACGTCCTCTTCTCGAGCCACGAGTCCCCCATTCTGTTTCTTTGCCTTTCCTTTTTCCTGCCTAAGTGGAGTCTCTTACATTTGTCCCTGTTGAACTTCATTTTGTTAGTTTTGGTCCATCGTCTCTCTAATCTGTGAAGATCGTTTTGAATCATAGAATCATAGAATCAAAGAGTTGGAAGAGACCTCATGGGCCATCCAGTCCAACCCCCTGCCAAGAAGCAGGAATATTGCATTCAAATCACCCCTGACAGATGGCCATCCAGCCTCTGTTTAAAAGCTTCCAAAGAAGGAGCCTCCACCACACTCCGGGGCAGAGAGTTCCACTGCTGAATGGCTCTCACAGTCAGGAAGTTCTTCCTCATGTTCAGATGGAATTTTGAATTTTGCTCCTGTCTTCTGGAGTCTTGGCTCTCCCTTTCAACTTGATGATCCTGCCTTCTAACCCTTCATCTAAGTCATTCATAAAGATCCTGAGCAGGATCGGGCCCAGAACACTCCGCTCGTCACTTCTTTCAAGGATGAAGAGGAAGCATTGGGGAGAATCACCCTCTGGGTTCGTTTGCTTTACCAGTTACAGATCCACCTAACCGTAGTTTCGCCTGGCCCACATTTGACTAGTTTCCTTGCCATGGGGGACTTTGTCAAAGGGCCACTGTTCTCAACTGAAAAGGCATCAAAACTCACCCCTGCTACAGGCATTTGACCCTCTTCCCAAAGCCCTAATGTGTGGATTTATCCTCCTGGATGATGGGACAGCTCATCCATCCGGCGATCCCTCCAGGAGGGAATCTGTTGCCCGTTCCTAGTGTGGTCTCGTACAAACACCTCGCAAGTGTCCGTGTCCTTTCTCATTACATCGTGGTCGAGTACGCAGGATCCATTTGTGAGGCAAATCTTCACCCCCGTCCATTTGAAAAGTAGTTGTTCTTGGTCAATGCTGCTCAATTCTACACACTTGGCAAAACAAAAAAAAGCAGTGCTTTGTGACATGTTGTGTTTTTTCTCAATGCCACTGGTGATAGGAAGTAGTCCTCTTCGGTTCAATCTCCTGTGCCCTTATTTGCTGCTTGCTGCTGTAAGCAATAAGCTCCCCCTCCTCCCTTGAAATTAATGATATCTTAATGTTCTGTATCATGTACTTTGATCCTCTAGCCGGTGAGAATGTACAAAAAAAATAACAAAAAAGAGGTATCTAATTGTATTTATTAACTTAATGTCGTTGTCTGTAAAGTGTTTTGTAAATCTGTGTAATTTTACTAGTGGTGACCTTTGCATAACACAACCCTTTCCAATAAAGGACAGAAGCATCCCTTGAGTCCACACAATCTGCATCAGCTCCGAGATGTGTAGGAAACACAGTCAGTAGAGGAGACGGAAGAGTATTGTCGAAGGCTTTCATGGCCGGAATCACTGGGTTGTTGTAGGTTTTTCGGGCTATATGGCCAAGTTCTGGAAGCATTCTCTCCTGACATTTCACCTGCATCTGTGGCAAGCATCCTCAGAGGTTGTGAGAGCTCACAACCTCTGAGGATGCTTGCCGTAGATGCAGGCGAAACGTCAGGAGAGAATGCTTCCAGAACATGGCCATATAGCCCGAAAAACCGACAACAACCCAGTTCTGAGACTGCTCCAGGGTCTGTTCACTGTGAGTTTCCGAAGGATTCCTCGAATCCCGCTCCAATAATCTGATGCAGAGTGTTGATCAATGGAATGGCAAAGCAGAATGTCATGGATACATTTCCATTGCACTAACCAACCACTGTATTTTTTAGAGAGATACCCATATCCTTTGAAGTGCCATCAGTTGTCCTCGTCCCTGGAGAAGCCTGGGGGAGACTCACACGTGTGTCTCCCCAAAAGCAAAGCAAAACGGGGAAGAGCATGCAAGTATGACAAAGAGAAGACTCACCTAGTCTTCGGC